TTGCATTTTATTAATAATAATTGCGACGAATCAGTGCGGAAAAGTTCAAATTGTCTCATAAATGGAGCTCCGATAGTAGTTTTCTCGAAGACGCTAGCTGCGAACGGGCTATTGCAATTGAAATAAGAAAAAGCTAATATCGTGACAAAGGAGTCAGTGAGACTCGCAGCTTCTTAAATCGCCAGTCTCTTAATAAAAAGGAACGGTCGTGTACGTCGAGCGAGCGAGCTAGGCGCAGCCGAGGGAAACAGCTGACAATATCTTTTGATACTGCACTTCATAACACTCGAGTTGGCTTTTTATAAGCTCGGCTCTCGTGAACGCGCGTGAACGGGCGCTCAATGCAATATTAGCCGGCAACTGCGGTCTGGCCGCGCGCACACAACAGACTGACACACACGCACAATGGACTGCCCTTTAGCTTTATTTTCCTCTTTTTCGGCGGCTCACCCGCGCACACACACACCTTAATTTATAGCTCGTGGAAATGATTAGATGACTCGTTCTCACGATCGTCAGCTCGGTGTAATAAAAATAATAAAAAATAATAAAATCGATCGATTGGAAGAAAGCGGAATTTCGACTCGAGCTTTCGGCGAGGGTGTATAATTATTGAAGCAAGCCGAATGCAGTTGGCCGATGCATCGTGCCTTGGGCCGCGCTTGTTTATCCAAGCTCGATATATCAATTCTCAATATCGGCCCTAGCTGTTATCTCGCTCGTTGCGTTTTGACGAGCTAACGGCTTATTTCCGCCGAATCGTCCAAGTTTTCTTATCGCTCATTGAGAGAGCATTTACCCAAGCGCTTGTTTTTTTTTCACAGATTATGAGCGAGCACGACTACAATAGCCGCGTTGCGACGTCGCACGACTTATGGAGCAAAAAAATGATGCCGTACAAAGTCGTGGTGTCCTTGGTGTCTCATTATAGCCAATTCGTCGACGAGTGTGAAAAATTCGCGCCTCGCCGGTAGTAGTAGCAAGCTTAGAAAGCAGAGGGAAAAAACAAAGAAAGCCGAAATAGCAGCGGAGCGAGAGCAGAAGCGGCAGAAGCTTCGCCGGCGGCGAAAGCGAGTCGCGACTCGCGCTCTTACATGTGTAAGACCACCTAGCAGGATGGCAAGTTAACACGGTCTGGCACTTTGCGCACTTAGCGCTTTATTATTACTATAGGCGCGCATACAATTCGCCGTGGGACTCGCTTCATAAGCCGGGGCTGGCCTACGCTCGTTGCAATCGCCAAATACAGACGTCGCGGTGCGACTCGTGCGCGAGCCGAGCTAAAATCTGAATCGATAATTACATGGGCGCGCTCGACGATGTAATTAGCAATTAGCGCCTCGGTCGCGAGCAGCTGAAAAATCCGGCAGCTCCGGACAGCGGCAGTCGGACGCGATAATAATTGTTTACGCGAGATAAGAGCTAGTCGTCGTCGACAACGATCGAAAATCAGCTCGGCGCGCTTATATACTCTTAGCGACGATTTTCCTTCGGCTGATGGAGCTCGCTGCTCGCTGCGGGCAATTGCAGCCGTTGGCGATCTGTTTATGCGATACATATCGAAAGTACATAACAGCGCGGCATGCAACGCGAGTGACGCCACTGCCACATGCCTTTTCATTTACTCAATCGACGCGGCGCGACTTTCGAGCGTTTCGCACTTGTCTCGCGCTTGCCTATAATACACTGTACACATAGTACAGATCTGCGCACGCAATGTTCAATAAGCGCGGTTTGATATATCAACAGCGTGTGATCAATTAATTAAATTAAACGCCATGTAGCTGCGCGGCATTTTTGCGATCCGGCTGCAGCTTGGCTCGATCGCGCCTAGCTTGCGAGTCGCCGCGCGTATAAGCAGCTCTCCCGACTTTAATGAGTCAATTTTCAATGGAGGAGCGTTGAAAATGAATGAAAATTGCGTGATTTATGCCGCGCGAGCTAGCCGGGCTTGCGATAGGAGGTGCTACGTGCGCGACTGTAGTCTGACGTTAATAGCGTCTGTCCCATTTCGCGCTCTGGACGCTCCAGTATAACGAGGGAAAGCCTAACCTGCGCAGCAGCACGTCTGGATATTGCAATAGGTGCATGAATTCAATGCGACATTGTCGGCCGCTGCGATGATCGCCCGGAGCAGCTCGACGGTATACGCAACGGAGTCGTTGAACTTTGTCTGAAATTCAACCTCGATGATCTTTTGTGACGATCGTGCTGGCGGCTCGAACTGCGTATCAGGTCGCACGCGCGGATCGTCTCGCTCCTCGGCATAATTAATTCACTCCACGAGTTCGGTCCGATGCGTTGCGTAAGTTTATAATCGCGCCGGTCAGAAGTGACTCGGGCTCGCGCACGTGCACGCTCTAATATACTTCAAATGCCGTATCGATTAGCCGCTAATGAAACGGCAGCGAGCTGCGAATTAATTAGCCTACACGCGCGGCGCAGATAAGACCATTTATCAGCGTCGGGAAACAGGGGCAACAAAAACGGACGCGCGGCCGTAATATACCCTACGCGGACGCGATCATCTAAATACTAATAGAGCCAGCCGAACGAGCATTCGTAATTGACGGCCAAGCAGCTATAAGGACGTAAAAAAACGTCGCGAGCATATAGTTGTATAGATAGCAGTCGTATAAGGCATTAGCGCGGGAAGAAACGAGTTTGCGAGCCACCGTCGCACGCGCGAGACGCTCATATAGCCCGCCCCACCGACGATCCGCGACCAGCGAGAGCTCCGCATGGGACAAGCTGAGAAATGAGCCGTAATTGAGGCGCGAGCTAAATGGAAAATTTGCTTTCGAAATTCCAGAGCCCCCCGACAATCGTAGCTGCTGGTCGCGGGAAAAATAGCCGCAGCCAGCCAGATTCAAAAGGAAATTCGAGCCGAAGCCGCGCGCGAGGAGTCTTACAAGGTGCAGCTCGCGGACGTAGTATGCTATAGCTGCGCTCATGGCCGTGGTAGTATAAGTTGGCTCGAGCGAGATCGCGTGCGATGACTGATAAAATAAGCGTGACTAATGCGCTAATTACGGCAATTGGTATGGTTCCAACAAATAAATTCGCAATTGCAGCAGCAGCAGCGAGTGTAGTCGAGCAGAGCGAGCGAGCAAGAGCAATTCGAGCCAATCGGGCCCGTCGATCGGATGGAAATGCACTTTTTGCTGCGGTATATAGCTACGCACGGAAGAAGCGCCGAGTCGAGTCGACTTTTGCAATTTCAGGGAATCGCAGCTCGAAATATAGCGTCCCGCACGGCGAGAACGTAGCACGCGCGCAATGTTTGAATCAAGATAGGCTTGTCCAATGCCGCGCATTAAAACCAAAACGAGTATATCCTATGTATAAATGCCTCTCTTCTTCTGTGTAAATGTGTATAAGTGTGTGCTGTGCGCGCACACAGTCAGACATTTGTCAGAGATCGGCTACTGTTTGCGAGCATCGCAATTCTATAAGCGTATTTAGCTTGGCGCGTATACGTATATATGAGCCAGCAAAAGACGAGATGATAATCTAGGCGTAATTAGCCTTTACTGTTGATTTTGCCAAGTTTCGCTCGCTTATACCGACTCGCTCGTCGACTCGAAAGTGCTTGGCTAATCGCCACCAGCAGCTTCAGAGAATCGCTCCCGATTGCATAACGCCCAATTACATTTCTCGCATTGTACACGGCCGTCCTTACGATATATATCGTTTAGCGATCGATGAAACAAGCCGAGATTCCGCCGTGCAAGCAAATAATACATATATCGAAAATATGCAGAGGTTTTCTCCTATTTACATGCATGATTACTCGAATAATTATCCTTTAATTCTTATACGAATTTCGCAGCTACGCCTGGCTTGGATTTGCTTTACAAACAAATGTGCATGTTATTTTCAATCAGGGAAAAGCAACTCTCGCAACGACTCTATCCTGCGTAATTGTCAATGGGCGCAACGACGAAAGTATAACTGCCTCATCGTCGAATCGGAGGCTGGAAAAATCGAACCTTGGCTCTGCGTCAAAGTGCGCAAATGTGCGCGAATGTGGCACGAACTCGAGCTGAGCTATCTCGCACTGGGCATCGCTAATTAGCTTGTCGTGGGGGCCTTTCCTTTCGGCAACGCACTCGGCACACACGGCTCACGGCTACCGTCTTTTGCTGCTGCTGCTTCTTCTTCTTCTTCGTCTTCTTCTTTATTTCCTCTTTTTGAACGAGTTGCTGCTGCTTTGGCTGGCTTGGCTCGATGCTGCTGCACTAGCTGCAATCAAGATGGTGGCGCCAAGTGGCCGAAGCGGCCGATAGCGCAACTAATTGCCTCTTGGCTAATTTATCCAGCAAAAGTGCAGTAACCAAAGCAGCATCAGCTTCTCTTGCTTCGGACTCGCTCGTGGCCAATCGTCGCGTGGAATCTCGGCTAGCCCGAAAATTGCGCGATCTCTTTTTTTTTGCTGTACTTGGGTTGTGCAGCTCGAGCTGTACTTGGAAATTGCGCGCGCCTCTCCTTCTCGGAAGGGACCACGGACGCTGCGGCTCGATCGACTGCAGATTTCGATCCGTGAATCGTCGCGAGCAATCGTCGACGCTGCGATCCGATGGGCTTTTCTCATTTTTATGACCCGCTGCCGCGCACTCCCCAAATTCGCTGCCTCTCCCTGATTCCTGTACCGGGCTCCACAGGCCGAAACTTGATTTGGTCGAGCGAATTATCACTGGCACACGAGTTAATTAGTCGAAATTCGTCGCGATCCTTATCCGGCGAGTCCGAGCCGAGCTTGACTCGAAGGCGTCTTTGAGAGCTGCATCAGCCTCGCGGTAATTTTTGCTTATTTTGCTGGCTCGCATGTCGCGCGATAAGAATTGCGCTGGCAGTTTTTTTTTCGTCAATGCCCGTTTCCCTCGCTACGTGTGTATTATAGAATGATGATAAGACAACAACGCACAACTTGTAAATTTTGATACGACTTTTTTATTGTTATTATAACTATTATTATTATAATTAATAATATTCTGATGACTATGACTATTGTTATTATTAATATTATAATATACTATTATCAATCCTACTGGCTAATCGCTGTTTACATTTATACAAAAGAGACATGAATGAATGAGGTGACCTCGAGAGCCTCCAGCTCAGTCTTTATCTCACTCAGTGAGTGTGTGCTCGTGCGCTTGTGTGTCTGTGTATGCGTATGACTATGTAGACGACTATTTACAACAATGATAAATAAATAAATTTATTCGTAATATACACGTTACACGTAATATAATAGGATTTTCGGGAGGATTTTTCGAGAAGCTCCCTCGAGGCCAATGTACACGAGTATATAGGGTGAATAAAGCTTTAGCGACTGGACATGGTTCGTATTTACAAATCGTGAATTATTTACAAGTGATCACTCGGCGCCGATACGCGGGCCGCTCGGAGCTCGAAGCTTCGTCGAGTAGTCTCGCTGCTGCTTCAGGCCTCTCGCTGAGGCTGCTGCGACTGTTGCGAAGACTGCTGCTGCTGCTGCTGTGACTGTTGCGAGGGTTGCTGCTGCTGCTGTTGCTGCGGTGGTGGTGGCTGAGCGGCCGGCGGAGGTGGCGGTGGCGGGGCCAGCACCGGATGGGGCCCTAACATGCTCACCGGGTAGAGGGCCGCTGCCGAGGCCAGTAGGCCGGGATGCGATCCGTAAAGCGCTACGTGGTGCTGTCGGGCCACGTTCATCCGGACCTTCTCGATTTCGGCCTCCTGCAGCCGCTTGGACTTGGCTCGTCGATTTTGGAACCAGATTTTCACCTGCGAATCGAAATTCGTCGTCGTTTTTAATGCGAGTTCACTCGAGACGAAGACTATCGAGCGAGAAGAGGAAAAAGAAGCTCACCTGAGTCTCGGTGAGATGCAGCGACGAGGAGAACTCGGCTCGTTCGGCCACGCTCAGGTACTGCCTCTCGCGGAACTTTTTCTCCAGAGCCATGAGCTGTGACGTGGTGAAGGGCGTTCTGGGCTTCCTGTTTGGCTTGTGTTTGCGCAGATTGCATTTGATTTTTGCCGGCTCGCCGTTTTCTGTATAACAAAAAGAGAGAGACAAGGAGTTATAGAGCGAGTTAGGTGAGTGTGCAGGTGTGCGATAATGATCGCGCCGTTTAAAAAAGTATAATAACCGCAGAAGAGCGTCTCGGGGTCGCGTTCAATTTTTCTTAAAAAGCCGCAAAATTGGCTCGATTATCCGCGTGACCGCAAGTACGGCTTCTGCCGCTGTCAGCATCTCTCATTGATAAATACACTATCTGTCAGCTCTCTCTCGTGTTTTTTCTTCTGCACGCGCGCGCGCGTCTATATACATTATATATAATATGTTTACGCGGCTGGCTCAACGCTCGAGAGAACTTTAAATAGATAATTACAGCGATAAGTGTGTCAGTTTTGATTGCGCAGACTAAGCTCGATAGAGAGAAAGAGTCAAAGAGTGAAAATAATGTAAACGACTCGTGTGTATGCTTACGTGCGCCCGTGTATTATGTCAGATTATGTAAAGTATCGAGATGAGCAGGAGGACAACACGCGCTGCTGAGCGTGTAGCTGCTCGTGCACACCGTCGGACCGCTCGACCGATCAATTACGCAAGCCTAATCCCGTCGCGATGCAAATTGCGATCGAGTACATAAAGCGTCGATTGTGCCGCGCGATTCGACGCCAATAGTCTGCATTTCTCGCTGTGCAGCTCTCTCTCTCTCGGTACCTTTTGCGCATTTCGTCATCGGCTCGTCGGGGACCGGTGCGACTTTGCCTACAACGCGAGCTGTCCTTTGTTTACGATATTGCCTCGTCGCTTCGCCAAAAGGGCCCAATTAGTCGTCGCTTTTCGACGGAAAGCTCCCAGGTCAAACGGACCGGGTCCGCTCGCGCAGCTCACGCATGCACTTCTCTCTCTTTCTCTCTCCCTCTCTGCGCGGCGGCTAATCCAAGCTTCGATCGCCAATGCATTCGAAATAATTAGCTGATCCCGCCGAGATAATGCGAGCGATTCCGCAGCCTTTTTCTGCGAATAAAGCGCGCTCAAGAGAGAGAGAAAGAGAAAGAGCAAAAGACAGAGCGAAAGAGCGCTCTTTTGTCGTTGCGTAATGGTCAGTAGGCAGCACTGCTACTGCGCGCCTTTATCTCGTCAGAATCGAGGAAACACTTGCCTTTTTTTATTTATATATCGGCTCTTTTTTCTCTCCGTTTTCAAAATATTTGTGCACCTCCGATTGATTTAGCCTCGAGCTCCGACACAAAACGCGCGCAATTTACTATATTATCGGCTTATTTTATCGCAGCAATATTTACTCGGCTTTTAAGCTAAATAATGCCTCGCAGGCCAATTGATCGCGCACTCGCACGTATCGCGCATAAATACCAATAAAACGACTCGTTGGGAGCGCGGCAACTTTTGAGCTACCTATCCCTATGTGCTAGGGATCCCCTCTTGACTCGACTCGCGCATGTGGGCCGTTTATCTTTTTAAGGGCTCCTACTTGGCTGCCGAATAAAACTACCTAGCGAGTCTTCCCGGGCAATTCACGCCAAGCTAAAAAAGTTGATACATTATGCATTAAGTTGCGGCCGACGGCTGCGAAATTTATCAGTCGTCGCACTCGACCGGCTTACGTAAGCTCGCTGCAACTGAGCATCCGCTCGTCGTTACAATCTATTGTTGCCCAGCTCGCAGAAAAAAAGTAACATAAAAATAAAAGGGAATCGAACGACGACAATTGCGATGCCAGAGCACACGACGACTTGCGCAAGCTCAAAGAAGCCGAAAAGAAGAAACGATCGCGGCCGTAATTTCCCAACGAGATGATGCTCGAGCTAGCACGTAACGCTCTATTAAGATTCGCTGACCACTCGATAATTTTGCGCGTATAATATCATAGGCAGCTTATATTGGCACGATATCGCCGGCCGATACACTGACACGCCGTACATTGACAAATTAACCGGCTTGACATTATTCGTTTTTTATTCGTTTGTTCATCGTATTCTTTTTGATAAGCGCAGACGTGACTAAGAGAGGCGCACTCGACGAAACAAAGCCGATGCCACTCGATCGATCGTGTCATTCTGCCGGCCCGATATCTCCATCGATCTCACGAATGACGCGATCCCCGCGCAATATATATTATGACGCATTATTTGTCGCGAATTTCTAGAGACGATGTGTGCACGTACCGTTGAGCGGAGCATGATGGCCGAAGTGCGCCGGGAAGAAGTTGGCCTGGTGCGCCGCAGCCGCCGCCGCAGCCACCGCCGAGTTCTGATGACTAGTCCAGAGCGCCGGATGCAGCACACCCCCGAGGTTGCCGAGGCCCGAGAAGCCGCCGATGTAGGCCGGCGTGGGCCTCACCGGGCCGGGCGCGTGCTGTGTCGTCGTCGTCGTGGCCTGCGTCGTCGTCGACATGGTCTGCGAGCCGCTGCTACAGCCCAGCAGAGGCGCCGAGCTGCTGCCCTCGCTGCTGTCGTGCATGTCGACGACGTCGATGAGGCTGGCCCCGTCGTCCGTCTCGGAGTTGGCCTCCTCCTGGCTCGAGCTCATCGGGGACTTGGGGTAGGCCAGGTGCAGCTCCCGTGGCGGCGACTCGGAGTAGCGCAGCTGATGCAGCTGATTCAGCTGGTTCTGGCGGGCCGAGCGAGCCGCGGCCAGTCGGCTCTCTTTCGAGCTGAGATCCGTCGGACTGAGGCTGGTCGTGCGCAAATCCGTCGGACCGTCGCTCGCCGCGACGTGATTCCTTATGGCGTAGCTGGGCAGGTATAGGGAGGGCGGCGGCGAGGGCGACGCGATCTGTCCCCGGCGCTGCTGGTTGTGCTGTTGGTGCTGATGGTGCTGGTGGTGCTGGTGCTGTTGCTGGTCCCTCTTGTCGTCGGCCAGCAGGGCAGCCACCGAGAAGCTGAGCCTCTGGGCCGCGGGCCTGGCCGAGGAGACGGCCAGACTCGGACTCACCTGCTGCTGGCTGCCGATGGGTTCCGACGAGCGGGGACTGCTCGACGCTGCCGGTGTCAAGGGCGACGTCATTCTTAAAACGGTCATGACTGCTGCTATTTTTTCCTCCTCGCTGAATGCGTTGCGACGCCCAACTCGATCCAGTATGTCGCACAATTTTTCGCGTCTGTCGTGCAGCCTGTTGTATTATATCGACGATCGGACGACACCGTCTGTCCTTTGCTCTCCGGTGCTTTTCTACGAGTGTGAGTGTGTTTTGTATGCATGCATATAGATGTGTGTGGGTGTGCGTGTGTTATTATTGCTTCGTTGCATCAACTATTGTATCCATTGCACCACACACGAGTCTTGTAAAACTTTAACAGTCATAGTCCAATCACTGATCGATTCGCGCACTAATTCGCATCGACTCGAGTCACTATATATACGTCTTGTCACGAGCCTATATATATCTGTCTGTCAACACAGGCTCGACGAAAAGGAAGGGAACTAGAGAACGCGCGACGACACTTTTTGGCGTGGACGACTGCGTTGCTCGCTCGCTACGATCGGACTGAGAAAGCCAAGGCAAGCCAGCCAGCGAGACTCGGCGGCGGCTCCTCCGCTCGGCCGCGTGGAGGGAGCGGCGTCGAGGCGGTGCCTGAGCTCGGGGCGGGGCTTGAGACTTGAGACGACTGCACGCAAGCCTGGATCGGATGGCTTTTTTGCGCGCTGCTAGCAGCTAGGTCGCCGCCTCCCACCTCCGTTCGCCACCCAGCGGCGGCGGCGGCGGCTCGCTCGAGCCCTCGACATCCTCGACATGCAAATGAGCCAAGTACACCTATGCCACTGCTATTACCTATACACGTACACGCGGTGTATACACGTAGACGCGATAGATGTATAGATGGAGGAGGGGCAGTCACGATATGCAGCAAGGGGTTGTACCGAGCTCGAGCTGCAACTCGTATCGACACTCATCGGGGCCAATTTAATCGCACTAGCGCCCAAAGCTCCGACTCTATTTCCCTCCCCTCGTCACCTACGCTATACCATATCGCGCGTCTGTGTGTATATGCGTTGGTGTATATATCTGCTGCTATACCTGCCAGAAAGAGAGAGAGAGAGACGGTAATGAGTGTAATTGACCAATTAGGCGCATCAGCTCGCGAGACTCGCCGCTTTGCCAACTCTTTCTCTCTCTCTCTCTCTCTCTCTCTCTCTCTCTCTTTTACTTTGAATGGAAAAAGTACATAGCTATGAGAAATACACTTTGTCTGATATGTGGAGCTTTATAAACATCAAATTAGACGTCGCAAAGAGGAGAGTCGAGGATGGGAAGGAAGAGCGAGAGAGAAGGAGGGACGGAGGGAGGGAGGTTTTTTGTCGATGTTTTGCAAAGGCAAGGCGATATCGCTAATTAGCTGGGCATTAAAATAGTTTTGCTCGCGAGCTGCGCTATACAGTAGCTATACTACTCGGCGCACTGCAGCAGTCGAGACCGTTGCCTCGAGTCGTCGTTGCGGGAGAAACGGAGAAAGCCAAAAAGTCGAAAAGCTCGAAGCTGCGAGAGAGTACGTAAGGATAGGATAGGTATACTATACGTGCGAGTAAGCGCAATTAATCCCCGCGTGCGCTTCGCTTCGTTGGCCATTTTCCTAGGCGCTACAATCGAGCCGTTTAATTTAAACAAACCGTGCGCGAGCGAATAATTGCCATACACCACGACTTCTCGTGCAGTAGCGCAGTGCAATACGTGTGCCTCGAGTGTGGGGCCGCCTCTAATTTGGATGCTTACCAAGCCAAACGATACGTTAAATAGATAGCAACACGACTTGCAACACACTGCAACACAGACGAGCTATATGTGTATTTCTCTCTCTCTTTCTGTCTCTGCACTTATATTATAGCTACTCGGCTCGCACTGCGCACGTGTGGATCGCCAACATATTACGTGCCTAGAGACTATATATATACAAGTGCACTCGTATGAACGTATACGAGCGTAATGAGGACCACCCCGAGCCCGAGTCGCTTCTGATTTGCTGCTATATTTTTAATCTAGCTTGCCGCATGCATCTACAATTTACATACTGCGGTACTCGATGCATACACGACTCGACTGGAAAATACTCTCAAAAACTCAAAACGACGTCTGGGCTTATGATTTTTCAATTAGCCAAGAGCTGCGAAATTAAAAATACCGCTCGCGAGCTCTTTTCGTTTGGGGCATTAGCGAGACTCGTCGTCTCTCTTGCGTACTCTGCTGCTTATGACCGAGTAGTGCAAATGACGCCTCGTCTCCGGCGTGTATATTTATTTGCAGTGTGTGTTGGGCCGCACGCGACTCGAGCTCGAGCTGACTGGCAGTTGACACGAGCTGACTAAGCCTCTTGGATCTGTGTATAGAAGATCATTACTCAGCGTTCGTGTTGACTTTTGGCCAAAGAGCTGCATATCTCGAGTTAGTCGAGCTGGCTTTAGAGGGGATAGGTCGCGCAATTAGCTGCCATATTCCAGCCTTTGAGCGAAAATATATATACATGCAAATAGCTTGACGATTCGAGAGCTTTTTGTCCAAAATTCGAGCTTATTTTTCTCGCTCGCCTCTCTCTTCTCGTGGCTCTTGAACGTCGAATCAGTCGAATGCTCGATCTCGTTTCGTGCCTTTTTCCCGCACTTTGTGCCATGCACATTTTAATGTCTTTTGCTCTAGCGCGAGAGAGCCTGCGCCATAGCACCAAATTAGACATTCTATTCTCAGACTTTGTGCGCAAATCGTCGCGCACTTACATATGCGACACGAGCTCGAGCTCGCCGAGAGAGTAGCTGCGAGGCTGAAACTCGGCAGCATTAAGCGGGCGCGAGACGAGACTGTAAAAAATTCCTCTCGAGCCTTCCTATACCTCGTCCTTCCTTTGCTCCTATATACGGCTTCGCTTCTCGCTCCCTCCGAGCGATGCGCATGCCAAAGATCGCAATTGCCTTTTTTTCCTCCGTCGTTGTAGCTTTTACTTGGCCACTGCACTTAGCGGCCATTAGGTGCTGCTGCACGAGAGGCGTCTACTAATTGCGACGCTTCTCAATTTATTCATATCGAGCGCGAAAAAGTCGTCGTCGACGTTGTTGGCTCGTTTAGCGGCCGCCGAGCAATCGACGCTACGTTGCCGTGCGCCGTTGAATAGACTCGACTGCGTGGAATCGGAAAGTCGCGGCCGGCCTCTGCCAGAGCGAATTTAATTAAACACGCTGAAATTATTCGCCGCAAACTTGAGCTGCTGCTGCTGCTGCTGCCGCTACGTCGAGGCAGAGGGAGAGCTGCGCAGGGAGAGAGACACGAAGGGAGAGACCAAGTGTATAGCGCGACACAAAGGGATGCTGCGATCCTACTGTCTGCAGCCAACTATCCGGGCACACCCCAGCGCCCCGACACAGCCGCTATTTCGTTCAGATTACCATCTTCATATTCAGCCCTCCCTGCGCATGAGTCTGTATACGCGTTGGCTTTGTGTATTATTTCGCTCTATGTGTGTGTGTGTATTACGTCGACAGTCGCGATCGCAGTCGAGGCAGTCGACTGTTGCTCGTTCGCCCGCACCCCTGCACCAGCTCTCTTCCAATTATTTTCCACGATTAAATTGCCATGCGCGATTACAGCTCGAATGTCTGTTTTTTGCGCTCGCACAGAGAGAGAGAGAGAAAGAGCGTATTACGTTGATTTTGCATTAATTTTTAATAATCCGAATTACAAGAAGGCAGTCAATGACAAGTATGTAAGAGCGAATGATGTAAGTAAGTCGACGTTTTAGAAATACAAAATTGGAGCGGCACATAAATCTTTGTTAAAAATACGAGCTGAAATTACGCGTGCCTCGAGTGAATATCGTAGGTATAGGCAGCTCGAGTTTATATAGAAAATGGCCTCATCAGCATAATTGAATATCATACAGAAAGCTGCTGCAGCAGTGGCGGTGGCGCAGCTATATAGCGACTGCCAACACGTTAATAATAGGATTGTATAAAATTCCCTCTTGGAATGGCTCGACGAGCGATCCTACCTATCTATATAGTCCTATGTAGTAGTATATATAGTCGTCTATAGACGACGAGGCGCACGAGCGGTAGTTGGAGTAAGTTGGCGTAGTACAGCGCGACAAAGAACGGCCTTTCTCTCTCACGCATTGGAGAAACAAATAAAACGCCACTCGTTGTCATTCTCTATTTTCTCATTTCCTCTTTGGGGAATATCATATTTGTTCGTTCAGTGTCACTGGCTTGTTTCTATATAGAATAGCTTATACGTAGAGCTAACGCACGGTAGAAAGAGCGAGTCGATATTCAATTATTGAGCGGATGCAAAAAGTCGCGCTCGCTCCTGTGTGTACGACTCGTCGACGAGAGCTGTATATATACAGAAGAGAGACTGCTGCTACTGGCGCGAGTGGCCCCGAGAGCCATTGATGGCGAGGAACGCGCAGTCGCCTATACCCCAACATGCAAATAGCCTCTTTCTGCGCGCGCTCCCGTTGGAATCCGAAACAAACGAGCTCAATAACGCGTGCGTATGTATACCTGTATAGCTGTAGTGTAGCCCCAGTGTATAGCAGTGTGTGCGCTTACGTGCGTTGCACAGCGACTGTTGGGAGACATCTTATTTTGCAGTTCTCTCGGCAGTGCACCTTGGCGTATATATAAAGATCTTATCGTGCGCTCCATCGATACATACGCGTATGCCTCTCTTACCTCTGCTGCTGCTGCTGCTGCTGCTGCATCTACCTTGCCTATACCTTCATTAAATTTCATCTGCATATATACGCGCTTGCCAAAGGCTTGCTTGGCTCCTCTCGATTTGTTTTTAAAGCTGCTGCTGCTATCCACTTGTTTCCCTGTTCTTCAAAGTCAATGAGCATAAAAGACCGCCGCGATTTAACCGTATTATGCTAAACGCGCTTTATTTTACAAAGCTCCTCTGCCCTCCGCACCATTCCCAGCTTATGCATTATTTATTATGCATCAAAGTGTCCTGTACCTCCTACTCCGGCGAAAAATCAATGATCCATTAACCATTCTCGATCCTTTTCTCTCTCTCTTTTATACCTGCATTAACTTTTCTCCACTATATTTCACTTGTTACATTTTTATTCCTTCTTTTGCCGTTTGCCCGACCCCAACCCTTTTCTCCATCCCAACTACTACCTTGACATCTAATATATCTATAACAACTTACGTAGACGTTTCTATACTTGGCTCATCGATGAATTGCAAAAATTGTCTCATTCTTTCGTGATTTCGAGTTTCACTTATTAGCAGAAGTAACGGTCGCTTCGAGCCAGATCGCGAAATAAAACCAAGGCAATTTTCGAACAATTCAATTACCATAACTTTATTGGTGTTGATTTTACGTTTTATTTGTTTCGCGAGAAATAAAAACTATTAGCTGCAAAATATCATTAGCGTCACATGAATTAATTTAAACACACATCGACTGGCCTGAATTCGTGAAAGAATACAGATTTCACCCGCGAGCAATATCGCGTCACCGTTTAAAAACTCTAT